TTCCATCCACTTGAATGTGTGTGCAGAATCTGATCCTCACTGTTTTAACTTCTCTTGCCTTCAGATTCAAAATACCTACACAAGTAATTGTGACTTACCAGAAATATTATCGTTTTATAAAAGAAGTATAACTGGTAGATGAGAAAGTAAATATAAATTATCCTGAAAATGAAAATGTTAATGTTATTTGCTCTGTAGATGTTTGCAACATTACTGTGCAAAGCATTGGAAGACAGCAGATAGGAAAAACAATAGCATGCATCTTAATTGGGAATAAGTGGTTTTAGAAAAAATCTCTGGAGATACTCCAGCAGATTCTGATTGGCACCAATATAAGCATATCTCAACAATTTCTCTATAAACTTCCTGGGTGTCCAAACAAACTTTAGTGGGTAACTGTCATCTTTTCAAACTGGCAGGCAATGGGTTTAATGCATTATGCAAAACTGTGCTTGCAGAAATATTTCAAAACAATGAATCATTAAAAAAAAAGCAACCAAATAGTACAAGCCATCACTTAGGTAATTACTTTGGTAAATATTTTATTCATTATCCAGACTTGTCTGGCATTCTATCTGTCCCTGCCCTATCCTATTAATAATGCCAGCCTGGACTACTCATTGGTCTATTCCTCATGATAACCTTTACAGCCTCTCTCTTGTTCCACCTTCTACCCTTTAAATATACCACTTCTGAACCTATGTATTTTTCATCATTAGACCAAGGGCAGCTGAAGTCGATATTTAGTCACAAAATTACAAAATGTGGATATATACCCACATAATTTTATAGACATGAATATAAATACACAAGCATGTGTCTTTTCATATATATTTTCATTCACACAGTAACTGGCAACATAGGGAGCCTCTAGGTACTACCATACCAGAAATGTTAAATAACAGTTTGGAAAATCTCTGATGTGGCTGAATTGCAAATGTACAACTGTAAATGTACAGCTGCAAATGTACAACAACTGAATCAAAACAGGAAGTAATGCAAATAATAAGGTTTGGATTCTAAGAAAAGTTCATCCTGTTCCTGTTTCTTTCTAATCTTGTCATGAGGTGGTAGCAGTAGCCTTCTAAGTGTTCATTTCTGTTCCAATGGAAAACATTAGCTTAACTCACCACAGACTTGAGATTGATTCCTGTTTTCACTGATGTCAAACCTGTTAGGATAAATTAGGAAATGTCCCAAACTACTGATCAAAAGTAGAACCAATCCGGGACCTAAGTCTATTTTGAGCTTTAAAAATATTCTGTAAAAATTCTAGTAAAGAAATATCATGTGTAGCTTTTAGTTTCGGCTGGCACATGAAGAAAACATTAAGAAGCTTTCAAAAAGGCTGTTCTTGGTATATATCTGACCTGCCAGAACCCGAGAATTACTGGAAAGCTCTCAAGAAAACCTGTTTTCATGGGATTTCTAACTGATTTTGAGGCCAAAGAGGTTAAGCAGTTTGGACAAGTTTCAGATAAGGGCCCACACTTTTGTATACTTATATGTATTGACTTGAGCCTCTCAACCCTTAGGGTCTGCCCATCATGAATGCTAAGGAAAAAAAGATAAAAAAACAATTCAGGGATCATATGGGCAAGCTTCCAGAATTAACCAAAGGTTAGGTGCCAGTGACTTTCTGAAACAATAAAAATGATGAACGGAGGACTACACTCTCCAGAAGAGCATTTCAAGTTACAGTAAACAGTCTACAACATCACAGAGATATGAACTATAGTATACTTTGAATCAAATTAAAAGTGAAATCAGTCCCTGATTTTATTAACTATTATTATGCACCCCTTCCTGAATAAAAGATATATGCAGAACTCTGAGTGAAGAACACTCACTTTAAAGGGGAGAAAAAAACACTGTTGGACTTCCAGCTAATGTCAAACAAATTTATGAAGCATCGAGACCATAATTCTGGAGCTATCTTGTAGTTTCAAAATTGCTCAGTGTATTCTACTTTTGAGCTTTCATTGCTAGAGATAAAAGGTTGTACTAGCACCAGCAGAAAAAAAATGCAACTGTTTTCAGGAGTTCATAACTATGCTGGAAATATTTCCTCAGGTAGGAAAATTGCCATACAAGGAGTCTTCATTGAAGTGAATTTTTTTATTTTTTTTTTACTCTGTGAAGGAAAAAACACCCCAAAGGACAAAACAAATAGTTCAGTTTGTAGAGATGCAAAGATGCCTAGAAACTCTCTCAGTTTTGACACTGTTTAATAACTAGAAAATTATTAGTTATTAAAAACACAGATATTGGAAACCTGCGAGTACTTAATTTTCTTTCATTGTTTTGGGCATTTTAAGTGAAAAGCTTTGGACAAGTCAGTGAATTCTGATTTGCCTTCTACCCTCTGATAAACTGGTGTAGCTTCCACTGACTTCCAAATTAACCATAATGCATTATAGCTAAACCCCAAATATACACTTCCTGCTGGGGGTCATGCTTACTGCCTTGAGTCTGACTGGGATGTATAGTGACTGCAGGAGTGGACTCTTAGGTAGCAGTGTCTCCGTAAAAATAGTAGAGCTCTATTCCATGGAAGCATATGAATACTGGAAACTTTACTTCAACATGAACTATGTGCCTCTGAATATAGAGTTTGAGCCCTTGAAAAGGAAAAGGGGCTATTGTGTGCATGAGGAAGCTGCAATGCAAAATAAAATGCATCAATACATATGAACTCAATAAAACATAATACTTTCAAAAGCGCCATTACTGGTGATATGCTACTTTCAAAAGAACAAATATATATATATTTCCTGAAAATAAAAAAATATGTATTTTTAGAAAATTTTCATTCCTGTTCTCATACAATTAGTGCTTGAAAGAAGGACTATATTTTTAATTATCTATACTTGGCTGACATACTATAAGCCAAATATGCAAAAGAGCCAGATTTTCATGAAAACAGCTCTGTAAATTCTTATACATCAATTTCAGGGGTGAATGATGTAAAGGGAAAGGTGGTGTTGTGTCTTCTGAAAAATCTAGATGGATCATTAAAGAGTTTGAATGATTTTTTTTTTTTTTTTAATTTAGGCAGGTATTTCCAGTCCCTCATTGGAATTTTAAATTCTGAGCCCTTCTGGGAGTCTAGTCTGAGATTAATAGGTATTAAAGAAACCCAGAGAAGTTGAGAGGTTACACAAAATATTTATACAAACAACTTTACCTTAAATATGTGTTTTTCTAACAACACCAACATCGCTAGGTCAGATAAAATACTGATTATTAGAAACACAGGAGTGGCTTGGAAAAAGTTCTGATAAATAGAGAGAAAAAAATTCTCCACATCCTGTTCCCTACCCCACACCCCGCTTTGGCTGTCACCAGTATACACCCTTCTTGTACAAGTATAAGAAAGGGGAAACATTTCTGTATGTAGTGAATATAATAAATATGTTTTATAAGATGTCCAATACGCATCTGCCAGAACAGCAGGCCTGTGTTTCTCAACACTATTTAAAACAATTTATGCACAGAACAAAAAGCAGGCAAAAATTAAAACCTGAAACACCCACTTATAATCTGAAATTTATGGCACAAGATTCTATATCAACAGCTACAAAATTAAAACTTAGATATAATGTCCCATCTTTAATATCATGTATTCTTTGTCCCCCTCTCACCTGTTCTCCAGGAACAAAAGTTAATTTTGTGTTAACTCTTAATCCCGTGGTATTTTGTCACTCTGCCTCTTCTTGAATATTATTTTAACACAGGGCAGTTACTCATTTATGCAATTCTAAAAAAAAAAAGCTTCTTTTAATCAAATCTGGAATACGTAATGAGTCCTGTACTTACTTCTCTGCAGTTGAACAGAGACATTTACATAGTCCATTGAACACTGTTTAGTAAACAAGGAGTGTACAGTGCTAGAGTGCTTCTATCTTACTGTCCTTGTAAAAAAGCAAGGCAGGGGTTCTGTTTTTAGTGCACACTTTGGTACAGTGTTAATCCTGTTTTATGTTGTTCACACCTGCTGCAGACCAGCAGCCTTCTGATGGGTTGTGGTTTGTTCTGCTCTGAGTGAATCCTTACTAGCTTCAACAAAAGCTACTATGTTAAACTGGAAACAAAGCCTTGATAGCTACTTGGAAACTTTAAAAAGGGAACGCTGAAAAGTATAAATGCCCTATCTTCAATTACTTTTCCACTCTCCACGATATGGAATTTAACTGAATGGTGCTTTAAGTGAACATTTGTTTAGTTCCAAAGGGGGAAAATGGTCATACATAACCTTGTCGCTAGCCTCCCTAGAAGTCGTTCCATTGGGAAAAAAATGTTAGTTGCAAATTCTGCGACACAATATTTTTAATGTGCCCTCTGTAACTCAACTATTCCTTTTGTAAAAAAAGAAATAGAATTGCCTTAGCAGAAATGTCTTACTTTCTGAAAACATCTTGTAAACCTTTACAGAGAGAGAGTTTTCTGCTTCTGAAGACCCTAGGAACCTTCTTCAGTGCATTTATATACAAGGTAATAGGCTAAATGCTGACTTCACTCCTACTGGTGAAAATAAGGTGTAATTAGATTTAAATCAACACATTTACAGCAGCATAATATAATATTAATTAAGATCAGAAGCAGGCTAAAAGGGTCTATAGTACAAGCAGGCAAGGCCATTAGTTTTCCACAATGGAAACTCTACAGGACTCTCTGCACCTAATTCTTCAAGCCGTAACATGGCAGCTTGGCTCCCAGGGCAGCAGAGGCACAGGGGATGGTGCAGGCTTATGGATGCTGGTGCCAGCAGTACGACCAGCCAACAGCCACCACCTAAACCGGTGCCCAGGGTTTAGCTATGCTACTACTAATCCTAGAAGTTTCTGAGCAGCTCCTGGACTGTACTGAATGTCCTCAACTCCAAGCATGACAGGATGAAATATTACTAACTTGGAAATAAAAATATCAACCACAATTTTCAGACTTGGATGTGTAAAGCTTGCAGTTAAACCATATCCAGGCATCTAAATAAAACTGGCCTGATTTTCAGATGTGCTGAATCACCCCCTGGTATCATGAAGTCCGTCACAGCTGGAAGTGCTCGGCAGCCCTGAAAAAAATCAGGCCATATTTATTGAGGTGCCTGAACATGCATCAGAGTGGCTAAGTATATGCTCCTAGATTTAAAAAAAATTCACCACAAAGCTCAGTCCTGCTCCAGCTGAGGTCAACAGCAAAAATCTCTATGACTTCAGTAGTGCAGGACTGAACAAATACCTTCCTTTTTTATTACAGATAGGTCATATTCAGTACTGGGAACAAAAGGAGAATCTACTGCTAAGGAAAAAGGATCCAGGCTTATGTACTGCTATGAGTCAGATGTGACAGCAAAATGAAGTTAAAGAAAACTCATCATAACAGATATCCAGTATTTCTTGCCCCTTTTATTTTCTCAAGTCCTCCTAAAACTTGCTGCATGTTGAACTACAGTATAAAAGCATACTTCCTTCCAGTCTGAGCCAAAACCTAGGGAACAAGAAGCATCAGCTCCAGCATCAAAAAATATATTTCAAAGTGAATATATTCTATTTACACACACTGTAAGCCACTCTTCCACGATTGGTGACATATACTAGCCTCTGTGTAAGTGGGAACCAGGACCCTTCAGCGTTTCTTTTTTCCTGTTACCCCACCTTCACTTCTTTCTTCTCTGGAAGAGAGAGTGACAAGGTGCTTCTTCACACAGAAGCCAAGTCCCTACATCTCTTGAAATAGCTATTGGAACCTCTTTCATAAATACAGTGTTGGTTAGAAGCCAAAGAAAGCAGTTCTCTATCTATTCACATTTATTTTACATCTCATAAGGAAAGATGCACTTGATTATCATATTCCTTGGCAGCTTTTAAATTTAGTGAGGAATCTCCAAGATATTCCATCAATATTATGTCAGGATAAGCCATCACACAGATGGCTTTGTATATTCTGTATCTCTCTCCCCCCATTTGTAATGGGTTAACAAAAAAACAAAAAAAAGGAAAAAGAAAAACCCACACACAACAACAAAAATTGCTAAACAAGCTTAATATTTTTACCACTCTTGTGATTCAACTGCCATAACTAAGGAAAAAAAGGGATTGTTCTTACTTAGTCTTGACATCGCAGCCTCCTTAAGACTACCCAGGAGTGAGATCTTTGGCAAAAAGCCAACACTGCTTTTAAGAAGACAGAAAATGTGGTGGTAACCTTAGTATTTCCTGGCCACACTTACTGCCTCCTCTAGGCAACTCTTTACTAGCACAAATGTCATGTCCTGACAATGAATTTTTGAACCCGAGCTCAGCTTCTACATTGATTTCCTTTCTCTAAAATGCTACTGAATCATTAGTTCTTTAACGTTCTGCCCCATGATAAGGCCTGATCCAAAGCTACTGAAGTGAATGGGAATCTTTCCAAGGATTTCAATACTTTTTGGATCGGGCTAATATTACTAAAAAATATAAAAAGAGGATGGTTTTTAAGAGATCCATAGAAACTCTGACATCTACATACCTTGTGTGCCTTTGAAAATCTTCCCCAAAGTTTCCACGTGCTCCAAAAGCAAGTTATTTTGTAAAACACTTTCATCTACCACATTCCTATGAACGGCCCAGTGACTGTACATTTAAAACACACCAATTCTACATTTGGGCCCTTCCGTCCTATGAAACTGAATGTGTGCTAAAAGGATATTGAAAGCCTCCAAGAACATAGTACTTCAGAACTTGGATTTTAATAGGGCAGGTTGCTTTAGGTAAGATTGTAAAGTTGCTTTAAATGACAGAATATTCCACTTCAGAAGCCACAGCAACTTGCATGTGATGTGGTCCTAGTGGTTCACATGTGTATTGTTGATTCAAAACCTAGGCTATCAGTGTGTGTGGGGCGGGGAATGGTGTTCCCTGCCAACCTCGCTACCTGCTGCCTTCAAGCACTGTTTCTAAGTATGCCCTCTTCAGGAAAAAAAAAAAAAGTTAAGTTATTTTGATTATAGTGCTTTCCCCAGGCAGGAAATTTTATTTCGGTTTGAATCTTTAAACCATTACATTTTCAGTGATGCATTTTTATATTTACAGTTGACATCTTCATAGAAGAATGGAACCTTTGAGCAACAGCTCTAAAGCATGAAGGTTGCCTGCAGTAAGTACTTAAATTATTTTACACCCAAATGGAGCCAGTTGTTTTTAGCTAAAATTTAATAAACCTGAAATCGATGACCTTTCTTTTACTGAAAGCCTAGACTTGTGAAAACGAACTTTCCCAAGAAACATAGTTTGGCGAGCTAATGCCAAACAAAGGGCTATTTAAAGCTGAACACTTTGTCAATTTATCAGCTTGTGAACATTCAGTTCCTAAATTCCCCACTGCTGCCTCATATATAGAACAGTGGTGCCTTGGTTAATCGAATACTATTGATTTGAGAGTGTCACGGTGATCTCATTGAGAGCAATCAATAATAATCCAAAATCAATCAATCTACTCTTGCACTATCATTTATCAAATCTGAATACACCAAAATTATTTGCAGTCATGAGAAAGAGAAAAATATAGCAATAAGAATAATAGTTTTAAAAAAAAATCAGTGTACTTTGCAAAGGACAGTAACATAAGCAAACGTGCCCTCACCATGTGGCGGTTGCCAAGTTAATAAGGAATCATACTTTTCCTTGCAAAACGCAGGGGTTTTTTTCTTGAGAGGATTTTGACATACGCTTTCTTTCTCAGATGTAGAAACACACACCAAGTGACAGCACAAGAGAGTCACACCAGTAAATGCTCAGGCATTATTTTACAAATAATAGTATTATGAACTGAATTTCAAATGTGCATCCCCTGTACATTCCAAAAGAACAAGACAAATATGTTGGAACATGAAGCAAGTGCACCTTCTTAGTTCAGCAATTGCACTTAAGAGGACAGAAGAGGATAAAAATACTGAATTTCCCCATGTATGAAATAGATGTACCGGCTTATCAAAGGAGATCTTTTTGTTGTTGAGGACTCCTTCCCCAACATATTGATCTGTAATTTAGCTAAAGTAATGACTCCTTCTCTTCATTACAGCATGCTCAAAAGCACCTTACTATATAATTTAAATAGAAAAAAAGCCCAAAGTGTCTAAAACATTTACTTTTGCTAATGTAAAAGTGTTGGCATTTTACTTCATTCCCGATAAGCTGGTGCCAGTGGAAGTGATTATTCTTTTCTTATTCAAAGCATATCAGCAGTTTGAAAGCACTCTCAATCTTATCAGGTGTATGAACAGCACAGTTACTGAAAACAGTTTGTACTGCTCCTCTCTCTTTCTGCCAGACTATCAGATAAACCAAACTAACTGTATTTACACGCAATCAAACGTAAGTTGTGAATTCAATGTACTGTAGCCTGATTCTAGCATGCCACAGGTTTTTTGTAGCAAAAAATGCCAACAGTGAAGATCCATAACTCATAAAAAGAAAAAAAAACTACACAAAAAGTGTAAAATGCAGAACAGGCAAGAAAAAATAGGATAAATTGAAAATGAATATTTTTGAAGTAAAAAAAAAAAAAAAATACTTGCCTCCAAATACGACACTATCATGTAAGCCCAGTACCTGCTTAAAAAAACAGCATTACAGAAACTGGAGAGAATAGGTTTTCAAAAATATTTCTGAGTAGCTCATTATTTCCTTAAATGTAATTCTTTTTACTTTCTCTCTCTCTCACCTGCCTATATCTGTAGAAAGAGCTGCTACAACACAATAACAGGCATTTAAATACTTTTACCAATGCCAGGCAGCAGACCAGACTGAAACCAGTTCTATCATCCATAATGATCCAAACTTAGTTGGATATTGAAATTGTTAAAATACTTAAGAAATGCAAAAGGAAGTTTAAAAATTATCTCAAGACATATTGAGAGTGCTACTGGTAAACGCTCAGTAGCATACCCTTCATTAGCACTCCTGTTCCTATAGAAAAAAGGTACCTCTCGTTTTTACAAGGCAAAATTCTCTCATGTGCTCAGGACTTTAATGCAAATAGAGAGCAAGTCCACTGGCTTCAGCAGAGGTCAGAATTTGGCCCAAACGATGTGGATTTGGATAGAAAGACAAAGAGTTGATGGAATTTGAGAGGAAACATTAAGTTTGTTCAAACTCGTGATTAATTACGACATCCTTCTCCTATGAAAGAATCTGCTGCTTAAGCTACTGTGATGAATGCTCCTTTACCCCACCCCCACCTCCTGACTTTTGCTGAATACCTCTGATAGAACAGAAAAGGGCAGGCACGTGCCACCACCTGAGCCCATCTCGTGCTTCTGTCTGGACTCCAGGAACAGAATGAGCCATCCCCTAGATTTGTAGGAGAACAATGAGATGAATTAAGCCAAGTGTGCAGTGCTGTATAATTCAGCCGATTGTTGTTTCTCCATCTGTGACACCACAGCCCCATGATTGATGGGACAGGTGTCACTCATACTACCGTAAACCACTGACAGTGGCTTCTCAGCTCTTTTAATACAACCCAGCACCAACTGTACCCAATCAGCTCCTCGTATGAGAACGTGTGGTGCCCATAAGCCTTTATTCAGTTATCAGGAATTCTAACTTCACCCGTTTATTGCTCCTGGGAACAGTTGGTTAAAGACATGGCATGTCATGCCACTTCAAAACATCTGATCTGTCCCACTAGGTTAACGGCTGCTATGAGAACATTGCCAGGGAATTCTTTCGCTGCTGGAAAAATGGATATAATTTAGTAGAGGAAATCCTGCATTCATGGGCCGTTAAATTACTATGGTGAAAAAAATAAACCCTTTTGCTATGGGAAATTTATGTACTTTTTTAAAGAATTCATTAAAAATGGTTTGGAAATCAATTCCTATTTGCTTAGTTTCGGAATTGTTTATTGCTTCTGAATCTTACTGTCTTTAAGATAGCATTTACTTATTCTAGCCTCTACTTTTACTGGCTCCTCTTTTCTCCTGTAAGAAAATCGACTGAAGTATTTCACTCAGCAATATACACCAGTCTTCCAAAATATAAATTCCTCTGAAAACTATTATAGCCATTACACTTGTTAGCTGACTTA